ACCATTTTGAATGGAAATTCCAGAGCACTTAATTGTGCTCATAAGAAGCCTATACATACATCAAAAAGTAGTCATTACAACAGAACAAGGGGCTACTACATAATTTAAAATCAGGAAAGGTGTGTGCCAGGGTTGTGTCCTTTCACCATACTGTATGCTGAGTAAAATAATCCAAAAAGCTGAACTATATGAAGAAAAACATGGCATCAGGATTGGAAGAAGGCTCATTAACAACCTGTGCTATACAGATGGCACAACCTTGCTTGCTGAAAGTAAAGAGGACTTGAAATATTTACAGCGTTCTGTATAGATTCTGTATAGATTGCATCTCAACTGGACCAATAAACAACAGCATGATCAATGGAGAAAAGATGGAAGTTGTCAAGGATTTCATTTTACTTGAATCCGTAATAAATGCTCATGGAAGCAGCAGTCAAGAAATCAAGCGACGTATTGCATTGTGCAGATCTGCTGCGAAAGACCTCTTAAAAATGGTAAACAGCAAAAATGTCACTTTGAGGTTTAAGATGTACCTGACCCACGCCATGCCATTTTCAATTACTGCATATGCATGAGAAAGCTGGACAACGGATAAAGAAGATAGAAGAAGAATTGATGCCTTTGAATTATGGTGTTGTCAAAGAATATTGAAAATACCATAGAGTTCCAGAAAAGTAAGCAAATCTACCTGGAAGAAGTACAGCCACAGTATCTTTAGAAGCGAGAATGTGAGACTTCATCTCATGTACTTTGGACATGCTATCCGGAGGGACTAGTCCCTAGAAAAGGACATCATGCCTGGTAAAGTTTAAGGTCATTGAAAAAGGGGAAGACCCCTCAACAAGATAGATTGGCCCAGTGGTTGCAAGAATTGGCTCACACACGGTAACCGTGAAGATGTCGTGCACAGTCGTGCATAGAGGTGCTATGAGTTGGAGCGGACTCACAGTCTTCTAACAAGAAAAACAATTTTCAACTGGGCCCACTGTAAGGTTAAGTACAGGAGGGTACTGAGTCCTGACCAGTCCAACCCCAGATCTGCAAGGTTCACCCTGGAAGCTGACTCTATCTAAGACTCCCTGGGACTGACCTTGTCCTTTCACTTTTAAGCAAAACTTTATGAAAGACCTGCTGACAAAAGAGTCACTATTGTTAGCCAGAAGTCACAAATGTTACACTAATTTCAAACAAGAACTTAGTACCATGAAATACATAATAGTTATGGCTGACCTTCTCTGAAGTTCTGGGTATCTCAATGACTCCTCACAACAATACAACGGGGAAAATTTGGCTTGGGGACATTAAGTTTCTTGCCCAGACACACCAAGTGTGTCTTGATAAAATAAAATTGCTGATATTAAATCATTTCTTGTTCACTGTGATTCTTTCCATTGTTTTTGGTATTAAGGAAGTCCCTTAAAGGAGGAAAATGAGAGCGTGGGTCTTGGTGGACGGTTACAAATCACTCACTGCTGTCATCAGTGTGTGCCCTCATACAGGCCTGCGTGCATGCACGCACACTGCTGTTGGTCAGAAATCATCCATTTGCTGTTGTTGTTGTTAAGTGCTGTTGAGTCAATTTTCCAGAAGCGGCTGGTGGGTTTGAACTGTTGACCTTGCAGGTCACAATCCAGGTGTGGCTGAATTGGTCGTTTCTCCCCAGCACACCTGAGGGATGCTAGAACCTGCTCCCATCAGTTGCAGTGACACAGTACAGTGGTGATTGTCACTACACTGCATCTCCCTAGCTCTGGAGTTCAGTACCCACTGTCCACTACTGTTGAATCAATTCCAATTCATAGCAACTCGATTGTTGTTGCTGTTGTTGCTATGTGCCATTGAGTTTGTTCCAACTCACAGCAACCCTGTATGGGGTTTCTGACGCTTTCAATCTTCACAGGAGCAGAAAGTCTTGTCTTCTGTGAAGAAGCTGGTGGGCTTGAACTGAGGACCTTGTGGTCCACAGTCCAGTACTTATCATAGGAAGCCACCTCACCCCCAGCAGCCCCATTATTGTCGTTAAGTGCTGTCGAGCCAGTTCCGATGCATTCTTGTTAAGGGCTGTTGAATCGGTTCCAACTCATCTGTATAGGGTTTCTGAGGAGTGGCTGGTGAGTTTGAACCACCGACCTTGCAGTTCAAACCAACCTTGTGGTCCAATGCTTTAGCCTACACCACCAAACTGCTCCATAGGGTTTCCAAAGCTGTAAATCTTTACAGAAGCAGACTGCTTCACCTTTCTTCTGCTGAGTGGCTGATTAGTTCACACCACTGTCCTTCATAGTCATCTGCTGCTCCCCAGGTCACCAGGGTGTCTCTGGAGTTGAGCAGGTCCACCCAAATAACACAGGACTAGACTGTATTGTTCATTAGGTTCCCTCTTACAACACACACAGCCCTTTCATCTCCATTGTTCCATTAACTCCTCATAGCAATGTGGCATAGCAGAATAAAACCGAGTTCTTTCTCCCGAGGCACCTCCGGATGGGCGGAAACCTCCAACCTTCAGGTTAGCAGTTGAGTGTGTTAACTGTCCTCACCACCAAGGGATTTAAACCACAACTACCTGTAGTGGTTCCAAATCAGGCTGTGAACCTTAAGGTCAGCAGTTCGAAACTACCAGCTATTCCCTGGAAGAGAAATAAGGCTTTCTGCTCCAGTAAAGATTTACAGCCTCGGAAACCCTATACAGGGTTGCTATGAGTTGGAACCAATTCCACGGCACATAACAACAACAACAACCAGATCCAAACATTCTGGGTCTTTGCTACTCATTGGAATTTTTGACACCTCCAAATGTCTTTTATATAACATTTAAAATGTGACCTTGTTTGAAAAAAATAAAATAAAAGAGTGGCAGCTTGAACTTTGGGGTCTCTGGCAGAATGTGGGAGGAACATGGTACAGCAGTGAGGTCAGAGTATGGGCTCTGAATCATGTAGACTTGGGTTTGAATCCTTCCTCTACCACTTAGAGTTGTGAGATTAGACAATTTACCTAAACTTAAGTCTTAGGTTTCCCATATGCAAGATGAGAATAATTACAGTACTAATATGATATCTAAGGAGCTCTGGTAGCGTAGTGGTTACGAATCGGGCTGCGAACCTTAAGGTCAGCGGTTCGAAACTACCAGCCGCTCCGCGGGAGAAAGATGAGGCTTTCTACTCCCGTAAAGATTTACACCCTCGGAAACCCTGTACAGGGTCGCTATGGGTCGGACCCGACTCAACGGCACTTAACAACAACAATATGATATCTGGAGTCCTGGTATGACGCTGTGGGTTAATGCGCTAAACTGCAAAGTCGTTTGAACTGCAAAGTTGGTGGTTCAAGCTCACCAGTCACTCCTCAGAAACCCTGTACAGGGTCGCTATGGGTCGGAACCGACTCGACGGCACTTAACAACAACAATCTGATATTTATACACAATGTAAATATCATATTGTTGTTGTTGTGAAGTGCCGTCGAGTCGGTTCCGACCCATAGCGACCCTGTACAGGGTTTCCGAGGCTATAAATCTTTACAGGAGCAGAAAGCCTCATCTTTCTCCCGTGGAGCAGCTGTAGTTTCGAACTGTTGTTGACTTTGAGGTTCTCAGTCCGATTTGTAACCACTATTCTACCAGAGCTCCGTATGGAAGATGATGCAGTATTTCCAAGAACTTTTTGAATCTCCTTCATATGTATAATTATTTAGGTGAGCAGTAGGCACTTAATAAATGTTACAGACAGCCCAGTCCTACCTCTTGCACCATTCATGGAGTTTTGGACAAGTTATTCAAGAGGACAAGTTCCTCTCCTGCACATGGGCATAATAAACCCTCTCCTGCTAGGTTGTTGCCAGTACTGCATGAGAAAAATAATTTGTCTCTAGAGTAAGTACTCCATAAATGGTATCTATTTTTAACAACTTGAGATGAGAGAACAGGTGAGATGAGAGGACAGGTACTAGGACAGATGGGGCAGTGAGGGATCAGAGAGGACAGACCCTGACTGAGTCAGAACTGCCCCTAAATCCTGGGTAAGAGTTACTACCCTATGAGAAGAAAAGGGGGTGAGCAGTCATCCCTGGTATGGGCAGAACAGCACTGTCCTCCAGGACTGACTGACAACCTGGGATCTCAACTGGGTGGGAGGCAGGGACTCCACTTGGCCTGCGTCCTAATGCAGGGTTGGGATGAAGCTTGTGGAATGGAGTTATAGTGCCAGTCTTTAGCCAAGGACTGCAGGGGCTGGTTTGGGAAAGGTGGCTTTCAAGGAAGAGGCCCAACAGCTGGAATCTCTTCAATCCAATTGCCAGAAGGGACATTGTACAAAGCAGGGAAGACTATCAGCTTCAGAACAGGACAAGCTGGGACTTTTGAGCTGGAGTGATTGGATTATACTTGTACATGTTAAAGGTTCTCAGAGAAACTCCTGAGGGGTGCTAACTGTTAACACTTTTGGGTGTCATGTTGAACAAAAGGTTGGTGGTTCAAGTCTGTCCAGAGGTATCTCAGAAGAAAGGCTGAAAAGTCAGCCATTGAAAACCATAGGGAGGTATACTCTCAAAAACAACAAAAAATAAAAATAAATTATTAAAGAAAAAGAAAGTTCTATGGAGCACGTATACACACGGGGTCCCGAGAAGTCAGAATCTAGTCAATAGCAACTGTTTGTTGTTGTTGGTCTGATTTTTATGGGTCTCAGAAGTGGGCCTGAATCCTAGAGTTGTGATCACAAAAATAACAAACGCATTCACTATGTACAGTAGCTAAAAAGAACAGCACATTTCGTTTCGCCCTTTAAACCCTTCTCCGGAGTGCAGCAAGGCAGGAATCTTCCTTCTGCCTATTTCATGGGTGAGGATGGAAAAACAGAGAAGTTAAGAGACTAGTTCTGAGTCATCCCACAGGAGTCCAGCTGTGAATCCACATTTTCTGTCCAGCACGCTCCTACCCTCAGGTAGGTAGTAGGCAGATGTGCCGGGAGGACTAGGGAGCAGCTTGCGTCCTTGGTGAGCTAGGAGGGGTCTCTGGGATCCACCCGATGGGAAGGGTCCGTGTACGGGGCGGGGGTCAGACCACCTCCCACCCGGCCCCGCCGGCGACCTGTACTCACCTCTAGGCCTGCCTTGCTGGCGGCAGGCACACACTTGCGGCAGGGGGGCCGCCTCCCTCCGCTGCGGTCGCGGTCACAAGCAGAGCGCTGGACGGCTGGCGGGCTGGGGTCCGGGCGCGGCCGGGGATCAGGCTGGGGCCGGGGAGGGGATCGCTCTGCGCAGCCGGCGCGGCGGCCTCCGGAGACTGGGAAGGGGGCCGGAGCAAAAATGTTTCTTATTCCAGCGTCTTCCTGCCTGGCCCCGCTCCACCACTCCCTCCTAATAAACCGTTTCCTATTGCCCAGCTAGCTGACGGGCGGCCGCTCTCCCCTCTGGGGGACTGCAGGGCCCGACCCCTCCCCCGCGCAGCCCGGAGACCCCGAGGGCTGCCCTCCTGGTGCCTCCCACATCCGCCTCCCCGAGGGGGCGGGCCTTGGACTCTGGCTGCTGGGGTCCCGTGGGGTCCGGCCCCGAGCCTTAGGGCCCTGAACTGAGATGGACAGAGGTTGGCGGCTGGGATAGGGGATGGAGCGCCCCTTCAGCTCAGAGTCAGGGGATGACGAAGCGGCCTGATGCCCGGGCGTCGGGAAAGGGACTCGGAGGCGAGGGCACGCGGGTGGGGGTAGGGGTGTTGCCTGTCGTTTCCCAGGCCCTCAGCCCAGGAGGCTCAGAGCAGAGCTGGGAGCTGGAGGGGTCCAGCTGAACTTTAGCTCCGCCCTCTGCCCCGCCCTCAAGGACTCCTCCCCAAAAAACCCATCCTAGTGCGGTCCAGTTGATTTCCACTCATATGACCCATAGGACAAGACTGTTGTTGTTAAGTGGCGTCGAGTCGGTTCCGACTCAGCGACCCTGTATAGAGTTTCCAGGGAGCTGCCCTATAGGGTTTCCAAGGCTGCAGTATTTAGGAAGCCTATTGACACATCTTTCTCTGTTAACAAAGGAACGTTTAACCACTGAGTCACCAGGGCTCCCTCAGAGACTACTCGGTCAAATCCTTCAACCACCTCCCTGAGGCCCTCTCATCATCCCCAGTCCCCTCTTTTCATCCGAAATTCTCTCCGCTTGGCGCAAGGGTAAAAGACCCAGATGCCCCGGTTTGAAGGGTCTGAGCTAATCCTGGACGCTGTGTTGCAGCAGGGATTTGACTCTCAAACAAGGGTGGCCAGAAAGGAGGGTGTCGCTGGGAATCATTTTGGCCGTCCCCTTCGAGATGCGCTCCCCACCCCACCAGAACACTGCTGAAACAGGAGGAAAGCGGAATGGCTTCTTCCCCAGGGAGGAAAGCGGAATGGCTTCTTCCCCAGGGAGAAACAGATTCTTCTTGAAGGCTCCTGTACAGGCTCAGAGGCCTGACCTTCAACCACTGTGAACACGCTGAAATCTATAGGTGTTGTATGTCTTCGAGTAGGTTCCGACTCAAGAGTGACTCTGTATAGAGTTTCCAAGGAGCCGCTGGTGAGTTGGAGTCACCGACCTTGTGGTTAGTCCAATGCTGATCCTACAACCCCACACCAGGATTCTGTTGTTGTTAAGGGCAATCGAATGGGTTCTGACTCATAGCTGACCTTGCAGTCCAGTGCGTATCCTACAGCACCACACCAGGACTGCCTAATGTGAGACAAAGACAGACTGTTAAAGTGGATTGAATTCTGACTCATAACCAGCACAAGTGTTACAAAGTAGAACTGAGTTCCATCGGGTTTTCTTGACTGTAATCTATAAGGAGCGTAGTGTTTACAAATCAGGCTGCTAATCTCATGGTCAGCAGTTAGAAACTACCAGCTGTTCCATGGGAGAAAGATGAGGCTTTCTGCTCCCATAAAGATTTACAGCCTCGGAAACCCTGTACAGGGTCGCTATGAGTCAGAACTGACTCCACAGCACATAACAACAACAATCTTTACAAAAGCAAATCACTAGATCTTTCTGCCACAGTGCTACTGGCTAAGTTTTAACCTGTAAACTTTAAGTTAGTAGCTAAGTGCAAACCATTTGTATTACACAGGGTGGCTGTTGTCAGTTACCAGTCCATTCCGTCTCATAGAGACTTCATGTGTACAAAGTACAATAGCTGCTCCATAGGGTTCTCAAGGCTGTCCTGTGCATGGCGCTGTGGGTTAATGCCCCAGACTGCAAAGTCAGTTTGAACCGCAAGGTTGGCTGTTCAAGCTCACCAGTTGCTCCTTGGAAACCCTATACAGGGTCACTATGAGTCGGAACCGATTTGACGACACTTAACAACCTCTTGGAAGCAGAACTCTAGCCCTCTGGGTGGGTTCAAAACACCAACCTTTTGGCTAGTAGTGAGTGTGTAACACTTTTCTATAAAAGTGTTTGTTAATTAAATGAATGAATGAAAAACTGGGGAGGGGGTGGACTTATAACTAAGTGGAAAGACATGGGTATTGGGAGCAGGAGCAGACCTCTGAGGCTCTAAGATGTCTTGCTCTCATTTGTAACATGGGTGGGAATTGACAGGAATAGAGGCTGGGGTAGATGGCCAAAGGCTCAGAGTAGGCATTAATTGTTGACTAACCTCACTTCCTCTGCTGAAACCTTCCCCATCCCCCGCCATGCAGCTGCTTCACAATTTGTTGTAAGTGTTATGAATTCCCAGAACCCTGACACACCCAAATTTCAGTGTCAGGACAGAGTTGTATCCTGTAGCCAATAGGAAGTACTATGGGATTACCATATCTGCTCTTTCAGATTATAGTGGCCACTTGGGCACTCTATTAGCTGGAGAACTGGGAGTCTGGGAGTGTGTCCATCTTTCACACCCACTCTCCCCGCCTGTCATGCCATAGCTTCTGATAAGCCTTTCCCTCCCCCAGCCTATGGATCACTGTCCTGGGAGTGGGAGCTTCCCCAAAGGAAGCATTCAATCTGGGACACACACTGAGGATGGAGACATGGAGATGGACAAGAGCAGAGAGTCTGTGGGGATGGGGAACTATTTATCTGTGTCTGGGACTCAGATACAGTAGAGTAAGTTTTGGGAGGAGGAAGAGAGGGTCCAGTGGGGAAAGGCTACTACTCATCAGTGCTGAACTCTCCCCCACCTCCCCAGAGTGCTGAGCCCTCTAGACCCTGACTGATGGGGTTTATCTGAACTCTGTGCCTTCCAAAGTACACAGAGAACCCGGGGGAGGCATCAGAGGAGGGACGCAGAATTGGAGAAAGTACTGAGGACTCAACCCAATGAGGAAAGGAAAAAGGAATTACAGACTGTGTCCAAGTCTACAAGAATTAATTACTCAGGCACCAGCTGTTCCCTATATTCAGTAAGTACAGAACAAGAGGAAACAGGCCCAAAGGACCAAGATTTAGATTTAGATATGCAGAAGGATCTCCCAGCAGTGCCTGAAACAGAGGCCTGGAGATCCTGGGAAGGGTATGTGGGATAAAACCTAAAGGAGATTCTCATCTATGGGCGCAAGTAACCTGATAAACGAATAGTTTATTTTAGAAGGATCAGCACAAAGCTGGTTCCTGTGAGGCCGTGTATGATCAAAGAGGTCCCAAATGTCCATCGTTTCCAAACTGTTGTACCACTCCATCATCTTTAACAACAAGTGTGCCTCCCATTCTCAGTACTCTCCTTGCTGAATTTGGATTCCGTAATTTGCTGCACGTTCTCACCAAACTCACAATCCATCAAGGAAATGGCTCCTGTAGTTTTGGAGACTGACAAGTTTCAAATCTGTGGGCCAGGCATCAGGCTGGAGGTTTCTCCTGACTCATGGAGTTGCAGGGACTGATGATGCGTACAAGGTTTCAAAAGTTGGTGAATCAGGTTAAACTATAGGTTGCTGGCTCAACTTTCAAGAATCAGGGGCCAGATGATGACAAGTTGGATGCAGGGTGCTAAGTAAAAGAAAGAAGTTTGCCAGAGCATTCTTATGTATTGGATGCAGATCATACCCTCAAGGAAACTCCCCTTATTTGAGCTGGGTTCTAAGAGTGATGACTGGGGTAGGGGGATGATTTGAGTCACACCCTCTAGTGAGGAGGTGACTCAAGATACCCTGACCTGACTTCATTAAAGTAATGGACAACTCACTCCCAAATGGGACGATAGCCACAGACTTAGAGGTGAGGATTTACAACACAACACAAAATAAAGGACAGTCACATCATCACATAACTACCAAACCACTGAAAATCTTGACCCAGCCAAGTTGACACACAACCTTAACCATCACAGCTTCCATACACTTTATTTGCATCAGCAGCAAACTGTCCTGTCCCATTGGTGGGTCTCAAGCACCTTATTTGCATAGTCCCACCCAATCATTGTGTGGGAGTCACAAAGACTGTGCTAGAAGAGCCATATTAAGTAATTCACTGTACCACACCTGAGGTCCAGCACGAAGACAGGTAAACGGAGACCTCAACCTTCCAGGTCCAGCTAGAAGAATTGAGTTCAAGCATTGCTCGTAACACCAGGACAGGGCCAGCTTTATGGGTATATGAACTGTGCAGTTTAACGCTCTGCTGCTGCCCTCGAAATTCTTAACAATCTTTGAATCTTTGAAGAAAGGACACAGCTTTTTCATTTTGCACTGGGCCCCACAAATGACGCAGCTGGTTCTGCATCAGAGAGATTGGGAGGAAAACTAACTGGGCTTTGTTCCACTTAAATCACAGCCTGGGAGATTGAGATTAGACAGCCTAGGACTTTTCAAATGTGAAAGAGGAAAATTCAAAGGGAAAAAGCTGTGGGTCTCCTTTAAGGGAGAAGTGGGACAGGTATGCAGGATTCTCAGCTTTGTGAGCTGGATGGAGCTGGGGCTTTGCCTGGAGGAAGAAAGATAGGAAATAACTTCTGTAGGTCTCCTCCAACTCAGGGCACAATGCCATGGGGGATGGTTGGGGAGGGTTGGAGGAGGGAATTACAGGATCTAGGTTCTTCTCAGTCTTAAATTGATCTTCTTTGGCGCTAAGATTCAGGAGACCACCTGATTCCTAGCCCAGCCAGTACAATTCAGACAACAAAGTCTGTTTGGTTGGTACCACAATTTGGGGAAGGGGAGGGCATGAGGGTAGTCAGGGTTCTGCCCAGCACACAGGAAGAGACTGGCAGACAGAAGCTAGACTCCCAGACTTTGAGCCGCCAAGTCATCTTCCTCTTCCTCTCCACCTCTTCCAGGATCTTCATTAGGTGGGTTTGTCCACTCTTTGGCCACTGCCAAGCCCTAGAAT